GGGGCGTGAGGGGAGGGCGGAGGAGCCACGAGAATAGGGGCGGGGCCTAAGAGGAAAGGCGGGGCGGGTGATAGGCGAGACCACGCCCCCGGACTCCTGCGCGCTTCCCCGCCCCCACGCCGTCGCCCAGGCAACCTGGCGGGCCTGGAAGGCCACTTTTCCTCACTTTTCCTACTCCCCTGCAACCCGGCTCCTCGCCTCACTCATATCATTCTCACAGAGGCCCCACAAAGATCTTCCAGATACCAGTTGGCACAAATCCTCCCCGGGACCTGCGCGCCGAGGAAGGGGCAGGCTGACACCGTCACTCACACTGGCAGTCCTGTTCCCCCGCCCCTAAGTTCAAGCTAGCAGAGTAACTCGCATTTTGCAGCCCGCCTGTGCTTAGCCTGTGCGTTTATGCTGTGCCTCCTTCCGGAATGTTTTTTTCCAGGTTTAGATGTGTTCTCAGGGTAGCTGACCCTTCTGCCTCCGGAGAGCTGTTTCCTCCGCTGTGCTTCGGTTACTCTGTCGTTAACTCTAACGTGGAATTTGTTAGCTGGAGATTGCACACTCCGACTCTTGCGTGCTGTTCAAATTAGCATTCCAATGGAAGAGTTCCAGAGAGGCGGGAGTCGGAGAGACACAACCTGGAGGGTTTTTGTTGTTGTTGTTGTTGTTGATGATGTTTTGAAGACAGAGATTCTCCATATAGCCCAGGCTGGCCACAAACTTGGGATCCTTCTGCCTTAGACTCTTCTATTACAGGCGTGCAGTGGTCAACACTGGCTTTGTGATGCTGAATTCTGTTGACTATCAACGTTAAGCAGACTACAACAACAAATATATAATGTATAAATTGACTACTAATATGAATAATACTACTTTGTGTAATGCAGTTATAACGTGTAACACTTTATGAATCACCATTAAAGACTTTTTATTATGATAAAAATAATTTTTTTATCATTTTATCAGTTTTTCCATTTACTGCCTCAGAGACATAAAGGGTTATAGTATCAAGTACAGAAACGGTGAATTAAATCATAAACATTTCTAGGCACTGTGACTAAACAGAAAATACTAGTTAGTTTCTTTTTAATCTTTTTATTTCTATCAAAACATAAGTGTGTTCTTATGGCACAAAAATATCTTAATTGCCTAATAATGATTTTTTGTGGTGTCTCATTTTTGTTTATACCCCAATAAAGGATTTCCCCCCCTTTTCTTTTTGAAGTCTTGACCAGGTTATTTGAAGCAGGAAGACTCACCCTAAATGGGGATCCAGCCCAGAGTGGGAGGAAAAACTTCTCTGCAGGTGAGTTCGCCGTAGCCACCGCCATCCTTTGCTACCTCCAGAGTCCAGTTTCTTCAGCCTTCCCATGTGGACTGAAGACCAGGGGTCCCCACACCTCCTGTGCCAGACTGGGATTGCTAAGACACCAGCCTCCTGCACTGACTAGCCACCGAGTTCTCAGCCTCTCCAGTATGATACAGACCTTGTTGTGAAAGCCAACCTAATAAAGCCTCTCTCAAATACATGTTGACTCTGTGGGTTCTGTTCTTCTAGGCCAGTGGTTCTCAACCTTCCTAAAGCTGCGACCCTTTAATGTTCCTCATGTATGTTGTGGTGACCCCCAACCATAACATTATTTTTGTTGCTACTTCATAACTGTAATTTTGCTACTGTTATGAATTATAAATAAGTATCTGTGTTTTCTGATGGTCTTAGGTGACTCCTGTGAAAAAGTCGATTGACCCCCCAAAGGAGTTGTGACGCACAAGGTAAGAACCACTGTTGTGGGATGTACTGTATGTTAAATGTGTTGCTCTGATTGGTTAATAAATAAAATATTGATTGGCCAGTAGCCAGGCAGGAAGTACAGGCAGGACAAGGAGAGAAGAGAATTCTGGGAAGTGGAAGGCTGAGGAGAAAGACACTGCCAGCCGCCGCCAGGACAAGGAAGATGTAAGGTACTGATAAGCCATGAGCCTCGTGACAAAGTATAGATGAATAGAAATGGGTTAATTTAAGATGTGAAAACTAGATAGCTAGAAGCCTGAGCCATTAGGCCAAACAGTTTAAATAATATAAGCGTCTGTGTGTTTATTTTATAAGTGGGCTATCGGACTACAGGGGCTTGGCAGGAGCTGGAGAGAAAGTCTCCAGCTACAACCACTGATCTAGAGAACCCTAACTAATATGATAAGGGTACAAGTGAAATTCAGAGGTCAGTGTGGAATGTCTTCCTCAATTACTCTCCCTTAGTTTTAAAATATTTATTTATCTACTTCTTTATTATATGTGTGTGATGATGTTTTTGGGGGCGCTCACGCTAACACACATGTGGAGGTCAGGGTACAGCTGGAGATCAGAGCCCTCCTTCCTTTTTACTTCAGTTCTGGGGATCGAGCTCAGGTCATCAAGCTTCTAGGCAAGCCCCTTCCCAGCCGAGCCGTCCTGCAGGCCCCACCTTAGTTTATGAGATAGGGTCTCTTACTGAGCCTGGAGCTCACCATTGGCTAGACTGACCCACTATCAAGACGCAGGGAACTTTCTGTCTCTGCCTCCCCAGCCTTTAAAATGTGGTGCTGCTGGTGACCCGAACTCAAACCGCCATGCTCGAATGACAGTCAGTTTGCTGAGCAGCCATCCTCCCAGCCCCACTTTACCGTATTTTTTTTTTAAAGCCCGATTTTAAAAAATACCTTCCTACTTTTTAAAACAGAGTTTAAAGATGAAGGAAGGGGTCCAGGATTCGTTCAGCAGCCATTCATTCATTGCACAAACATCAACAGTCGCCATGGTTAAGTGGCAGGGAACCTTGTACTTCTTGTTTGGTCTTCAGTGTTTTAAAATTTATGTGTGTGGGTTTTCTGCCTGCATGTATGACTGTGTGCCATATCTGTGCAGCGCCCAAGGAGGCCAAAAGCGTATCTCTTGGGACTGGAGTCTGTATCTCTTGGGACTGGAGTCTGTATCTCTTGGGACTGGAGTCTGTATCTCTTGGGACTGGAGTCTGTATCTCTTGGGACTGGAGTCACAGACAGTTGTGAACTGCCATGTGGGTGATGGGAATCAAATCCCAGTCCTCTGCAAGAGCGTCAAGTCCTTCTAACCACTGAGCCACCTTGGCAGCCTCACTACTGTGTATTTATATTTTTTGTTTTCCTGTTGTGCTAGGAATTAAATCCTAGACCTCATGCATGCTGGGGAAATGCTGTACCACTGGTATATATATGTATATGTATATATGTATAGATAGATAGATAGATCCCAGCCCCAACAATGTTATCTTTTAAACGTACTTTAAAAATACTATTTGAAACAGCTGTGTGGTGTTAAAGTATACATAAAAATGATCATTTTCACCGTTTTAAAATTACATTTCTTCATTTGTTTGTGTGGGGCACATGTGGAGGTCAGAAGACACCTTGCAGGAGTCAGTCCTTGCCTGCCACCGGGTGTGTCCCTGGGACTGAAGCCAGTCCGTTGGGTTTGGCTACAAGCACATCTACCCACTGGGCGTCTCACCCACCCCATGGCCCCATTTTAGGCAATTTTAAGTATAAGTGGCACTAATTATTTTGATTTTTTTAATTGTTTTTATTTTTAAACATATTGTTGTACGCAACCACCATCACTATCCATCTCCAAAGCTTTGTTTTCTTCCCCAGTTGAAACTCAGTGCTTATTAAACACTAATTTCTCATCCCTCTTCCTCCAACCTCAGCCGCCATCATTCTGTGGTCTGTGTATATGACCTTATCTGCTATAGGCCCTGTGAATATGTATACACTCACAGTGGTTTTTTAAGGTTTCTTTTATTTGTATGAGTGCTTTTCCTGTATGTCTATAAGTGTACTGCAGGTATTCCTGGTGCCCTTGGGGGCCAGAAAATGGCATTGACACTCCTGAAATTGGAGTTACAGATGGTTATGAGCCACCATAGAAGTGCTGGGGACCGAATCTGGGTCCTCTGGAAAAGCAGTAAGTGCTCTTGACCCATGAGCCACACTTCAGCTCCCAATGCTTGCTTTTATGTGTCTGACTTAGTTAATGCATGTTGAAGGCTTATTTCTACACACACACACACACACACACACACACACACACACACACACACACACTTCACTCCTTTTTTGTTTTGTTTTGTTTGTTTTGAAATGCAGTCTTGTGTCCTCCAGGCTGATGTCAAACTCAATATGTAGCCAAGGATGACCTTGAATTTCTGATCCTCCTGCCTCCACCTCCCAAATGCTGGGATTACAGGTGTGTACCACCATACCCAGAGAATTTCATTCTGTTTTTTTAAGGCTAAATAACAATTCATCATGTGTATATATTGCATTTTAGTTACTCACTCATTTGTTCCTAGAATCCTTGAGATCTTTGAATAGTAAGTATAGGTGCTTCTCTGCCTGTCTGAGTTTTTGTGTTGTTTTTTTGTTGAGACAGTAGTCTCTTTACATATCCGGGACTAGTCTGGAAGGACATATGTAGCCTAGCGGGCCTTGACCTGGCAATAGTCCTGCTTCTGCTGGCTCAGGGCTGGGATGGCAGGTGTGCAGCGCTATGCTCAGCTGCCTTAAAAAAAAAAAAAAAAACTAGCATTATTGAGGCAAGATTTCCTCTGAACAAACTGCATCCACTTGCAGTGAGCCATCTATGAGTTGTGGCAGATTATACACCTATAAAATTTCTGTCTCAGTTACGATCACCTTTGATCATTCCCGAAAGATTTGGATTGACTGGGCCGCAACCATTTTGTGACAGGCTTGACTGTAGCTCATGAAGCAGATGCTGTGCATTGCCTACTCCATGCTCCCTTCTTCATCCTCGCTGAACCCCACTTATGTGGAAGTATTCAACATAACACTCTGCAAAGTTCTGCACTTCAGGGAAAGTTCTAGCCTTGAGATCCTGTTGGTACAAGCCAACTGCTGCTCCTCCATGCCTCTTCCGAGTGACTTCTTTCAGGGCAATGTGCAGGCCACTTCCCGGCCTTCAGAGGCAAGGAGATGTCGTCTCCAAAGGTTGTCGTCTTAAAAAGAGCCATGAAAAAGATCTTCACCAACCCCACATCTGACAGAGGATTGATCTCCACAGTATATAAGGAACTCAAGAAACTAGACATCAAAATACTGAACAGTCCAATTAAAAAAAATGGGCTAAAGAGCTAAATAGAGAATTCACAAAACAAGAACTACAAATGGCTGAAAGACATTTAAAGAAATGCTCAACATCCTTAATCATC